ATAAATCAAATTGGAAAAAGGCATGGGCATTTTGGTCTTTTAAATAATTCTTCAAGATTAAAAGGGATTTTGACAAAGTCAAAGGGGAAACAATGTCTTTTTATATGTAAAAAGTGGTCTGACACAATTGAAAAGTAACTTTTGAGGTGTGAGTAAAAAACGGACCAAACATTTGTAATGTGAGTGATGTTATTTTTTAAAGGTGTTTCAATGCGATATTTGGCCAAACCTAAGAGGGTGTCGGTGTAATTAACCCTTGTTCTTATTGACATTTTACTTATTAAAAAATTTTGTTGTTATTAACATTTTTGCTATCATGGTATCACAAACACTTTAATTTTTCCTTCTTCCCGGTTCTCCAAAGACTCGTCGATTGTGATGATCATATAATTTTAGATATTTCCTTCTTAACACCATCTAACAAAAATGTCCGATAAGGAATCGCATAATCAATTTTTTTGTGATGCCAATGTGTCTCAGTTGAGATACTTAAGGTGTGTTTTGGTTTGTTTTCAGGCTGTCACTTGGCTGAAAATTAATGTTGGTAAGAGTGCTATGGTTCCTGTGGGGGAGGCTTAGGATATTGCCTCTCTTATTGCAGTTTTTGGGTGTGGGGTTAGCACTTTTCCCATTTCTTATTTGGGATTGCCTCTGGGATATTCGTCGAGGAGGGAGGGGCTTGGGATCCCATGGTTGAGCAGTTCCAAATAACACTTTCCGGGTGAAAGAAGCAATATCTTTCTAAGGGCGGGAAGGTTACCCTCATGAAGAGCACGTAGGCAAGCCTCCCTCCATATTTCCTCTCTTTTCCAGATTCCTTCCTCAGTGGCGGAAAGGATTTGATAGACTCCAACGGAAGTTTTTATAAGGCAGGATGTCAACGAAAGTTTCTATAGGGCAGGATGGGGGGTGTGTTCAAATACCATCTTGTCTGCTAGGAGGGGAGCAGTTGTGTAGGCCTATTAAGTTGGGTGGCTTGGGGACTAGAAGGTTGTTTCCCTTTAATAGGACTCTCCTATGCAAGTGGTTTTGAAGATTCGGTGATCAAAGTACTATAGAGAAGGGTTATTCGTGTCGCTTAGGGGAGGAGGGAGGCGGGTGGTGCTCTGGCGAGGTTTGAGTCGCAGGAGGTCTTGGTGTTTGGAAGTGCATTCTAAAGGGTTGGGATGCACTTTCCAAACATAGCAGATTCAGAGTTCGAAACGGCAGAGATACTCGATTTTGGGAGGATCTTTGGTGTGGTGAACACCCATTGGCTCGTTTGTCTCCCGGGCTTTTCAGGATTGTTGTTAATAGACACCTTGGTTGCCGACTGTTATCGACTTGATAGCAGTAGGATTTCTTGAGATGTGCGTTTCCTATTTTTCAAGATTGGAAATTAGATGATGTCTTTATTATGTTAGAGCTTTTGTATAAACAGGAGGTTGATGGTGGAGGTCCAGATTCCCTTGTTTGAGTGCCCTCTTCCAGGGGTTGTTTGCTATTTGCTCTTTTTTTTTAGATGTCTCCCGGGCTTTTCAGGGGGTGGATTTCCCTTGAAAGGCAATTTGGCATTCTAAGGCTCCTTTAAAAGTGGCCTTTTTTTGTGTGGACAACAGGATGGGGCAAGATCTTGGTGCTTGATAACCTAGGAAAGAGAACACAAGTAACTGCCAATTGGTGTTGCATGTGAAGGGGAATGATGAGTTAGTTGATCGCCTCATGTTGCATTGTCCCATGGCTCACAACTGTTGGGGTCTTATTTTTGGCTTGTTTGATGTTCACTAGGTCATGCCTAGGTCCTCAAGAGACTTGTTTGATGTTTGGAGAGGGTGTCATGTGGGACTCCACACCCGTCTTTTTGGGAGGGTCGCACCCTTTTATGATTGGTGGTGCCTTCAAAAGGAGCAGAATAGAAGATCTTTTGATGGGGTGGAATCTTCAACTGGGGCTATTAAATTTCTTATTGTTAGCTCTCTTTTTTGTTGAGTTATGGGGAGAAATTATAAATCTTTTGAGGAGATAGTTGATTTTGTGTGTTCTTTGGGTCCTTGGGGTCCCTCCTGGCTTTTAGTTTTGTGTAGCTTCTAAGATGCATTCCTCTTTTGAACGCTTTCTATTACAATTTTACTTATTAAAAAAAAAAATCATATTATTACTATTATACATGTGAATATAATGCAGACGTAAATGCAGTAATGATATGTTCCAGTAAGGCCTACCAAAATAATACACTTACATGTTTTGTTTCACAAGATTTGGACTTCACAAGTAATGCTAAAAAGGAGTAATTAAAATTTTTATGAATTTAGAAGAAATTATGTCTAAGCAAACACTATAATGAGGTCAATAAATAAGTCTTTTTATTTTTTTTTTTTTTTTTTTTGGGGGTAAGTTTTGGAACCACAAGTGGGGTCTATTTACAAACTAATAATTTCTAGAGTAGGAACAAAAAACTTTTAAAATTGTGGGGGCCATGTCTCTCCACCTTGTCAAGGATAGAAAGATTTGAATACAACAATAGATATCCCTCAATGGATAGATCAACACATTAAAGCTCTCTCTGTAGAGTAATAGATGTTGTAAGTGATGAAAACTCTAGAAGAAAACAAATATATCTCACTAAATATGATGAAAATTCAAGAGAAGGATCCAAATGCAGCAAAGATCTCTACGATACTCAAGAATGATGTAAGCGATCTGATGCTTTTCAAAGGATGTGCCAAGGTTTTGCTCAAAAGAGTATAGTTTTACAAAGATATGAAGAATATTCAAAATCTATATTCAAAAGTTATATACAAAAGTTATCCAAAAGTATGTCCCAAAAGGATATGGAACCCTCTTATAGCCTCATTGGAACATGTGTTCGTTGTAGCACTTAGAGATGTGTTTGGATTTGCGTTTAGCGAAAGTCGGTGCTCATATAGATGTCAGTCGAGTACCTTTTACTTTATGGTTATACATCTTTTGAGTCCTTAGGAAGATGTCTGCAAGAATTGAGCCCAGAAATGCCTTTAGGAATGAAGGCGTAGACATCTATCTAGAACCATATAGACGTTTGTAAGGATTTTTCAGAAAAAATTAATTCGCAGGTGATGAACATATAAATGTCTGATATAATCACATAGACGTTTGTAAGATCTTTCTCTGAAAAATTCTCACTTGCAACATATGGCCAAAATACAAAGAGATAGACGTCTGTAAAACCCTTGTAGTTGTAGACGTCTCTGACATCTTTGCATTTAAGTTCGTTTTTCTCTAGGCCATAAAACCGTCATATCCACACATGCATACGTTTTGTTCACATTTAATTTTGATTTTGAACTTTTTGAGTTCCAAAGTGACTTTCATCATGTTCAATGACTGTTTTACCCTTATGATTCAAATCATCAAAGTTCAAGGGACAAGTCAATCATTCTAGGGACCATGACATGATATGTATGATTAGTCCATTTGGTCTTAGGTTCATTTTAGAGACCTAGACTTAAGCTTTCAAATCACATGCAACATGAATTACATTACAATCAAGCGCTCTCAACAAACCTATACTACCCATAATCTTGACATCTAACTTTGAGATTTAGAGTCCCATCATCATGATCCATGGGTTCATGATGAGCTTTGAGTAGTTGAGTTTCATAAATATCACACTCAAGTAGAACACCAAATTCTCACATTAATGGTGTGTTGTCATCAAAATTACCCAAACACTCTTGGGTTGAAACCTTGGATTAACATATTAATCAAACCATGGCTTTGAAAGGTAGAGGAACATTTACAGTGAATTTGGCTTAAAGGACCCATTTTGAAGCCCAAAACCCGGTGTTGCTCAACTTGGATGATTTTGATGGTTTATAGAAGAAGCGGATTAGAATTAGCTTGGTTTGTGAAGCGATAGATTGTAGATACAACCAATTTTCTGCCCTTTTTATTGTGCTTTTTTTTTTTTCTTTGTTTTTTGGGGGGGTGGGGAGAGGCAAATCAGAAATTGTAAAAAAAATCGTATAACTCAAAATTAACCTACCAAACAATTGAGAAATGCAAAAATAATAGAGAAAAACAAATAAAGGAAATCAAAACTGACCAAGTTGATTTGCTAAATAAACTTTTACTAGATAAAATTTAGTATATAACCGCAAGTACGAAAATGCCAAACACAACGTATTAATAAGATTAAACAAAAGGGAACATTAATGAGCAATGGAAAGACTAAAGGTTAGACTTCTAAGTTCTATGAAGCTGAAAAATCAGTAACACATTCAAACAACAGCTCTTAATAGAGGTCAGACCAAATCTGATATTATGTAAACTGCACCGCTAGCCTTGAAAGCTTCACGCTTTGATAGACAAGAAAAAAGGGGATATAATAGAGAGCATGGAGGAAAGCTTCACGCTTTGATAGACAAGAAAAAAGGGGATATAATAGAGAGCATGGAAAAGTATGTAAAAGTGTGAAAGTAAGTATAAATTTCACTAATATTGTAATGAGAGCCAGGAATAGTGAGGATCATGCAACTTAATAGCCATATAAAACACTTACAAAACCCAACTCAAGATAAGAGAAGAAAGACAGGAATATAAGATTATAAGTACAGCGAAGTAGAAGACGACCTTGGTTCCATAACTTCCATGCTCTAAGATCCTATTTAGATAGAATCAGTGCATTTTATAACCAAACAACATAGGTGATCCTTTATACATGCCTCAAATGACACGTAAAAAACAGATAATATTGTAGCACCAACATCAGATGTGAGAAAATACCGAAGAACATGAATAAATGCATAACAATATGGTGTTACTTAAGCAGTAGTTCTTTATATTTAGGGTTCTTCAAATATCATCAGTTCCAAACAAAGAGTGTTTGCAAGGTCAGGAGGAATGAAGCGTGGATGAGAGAGATCTGAGTTGCTCGAGTATTTATAAATATAATTCTTAATAGCACACCAAAAGAAGTAAGAATCTACCATCACCAATGAGAAAAACGTCAGCAAGGACATATTACTCGCTATTTCTCTAACCTTATTCTTGGAAAAACTGCCCGATGGTGATGGCATCCAGATATCCTTTAAATGCGACCCAAATCTTTTTCTGCTTTCTGCGTAAAACATAACATAACATTAGACGTGTGTAATGGAAATTTTTTCTGAAAAAGAAGATTTTCTTTGAAGCATGAGAAACATGAAGTGGAAACCAAACAATCACCTAATCCTTTTGCTGCCACCTTGATACTTTCACTTTCACTATTACATTTTAATGTCACAAAAATAAACATGCATTAGAATACTGAAGCTTATTCACAATCAAATCACCTAAAGAAATAGAGATAAGAAGATACAAAATTTTCATTGGTCAATTGAACAAAGTAATTGGGAACCTAACCAGTCTATGTCACTTAAATCAACTTCTGTGTCCTTTAAAATAAACCCGGCTCTCTCAAGCAGCGCCTTAATGTCATTGACCACCTTTTCTTTTGGCGTCTATAATGAAACAGGAGAGAGTAACTTCGCAAAAATTTTAGGTCAAAAGTCAAAAACATGAGGAGTCTGGTAGTAATATCAGTTGAAAGATTACCATTTTCATTTTTTTTTTTAAAAGAAATAAAATAATAATAATAAAAAATTTAAAAAAAACTAGCATTATAACTTAAAAGTTCATAATAAGTATAAATATCATAATCAAATATATCTCTGCCACAATTTTTATAAATTAAAAAAATAAATAAATAAAGAGTTTAAATCTCTGCATGCCACAACCATTATGATAGTTACAATAAATCACAAGAAACAAGCACAAAAACCATTAAAAAAAACATAGATCAAAACAACTTACTTCACTTTGTACTGACTGTCTGTATTTTTCAACAGCAGCACCAGCCTTTTCAAACACTTTGAGCAACAGCAGTCCCTGAGTCATCGCTGCCTTACTATCCTTTAGTGACCGAACCAATTTTCCAATCTTATGAATTCTGAGCAATTTGCTTTCGGCTTCAGTTAGTTCTACTACTACACTCTCTCTATTTTCATAGTTGTTACTCAGACACACACGCCTCCATGGAGGCTTGATCCCTTGACCTTTCTTTGGGAAGTAAGGGTCTGATACCACTAGCCCACTGGCCCGTTGGGAAGTTAGTCCTACACTCTCTTCGACCAACTTACCATTCTTATGACTTCCGATCAATTTGACTTTATCATCTGTTAGAGATACATTCTCTTCAATGATGCTTTCGCAGATTGACATGCTTCCATCTAAATTAGGACCATCTTTGCTTTCAAACATGCTCAGAGGCATAATCTTTTCTCGAGCAACCATCAACAGAGTAGCCATCTCAATAAGTTCTCCCTGGATAGCATAATGGCTGAATATTTTATCAACCTCCTTTGTTCTTGATGCAAGCAACCTATTAATTTCTAATGGTACTCTCTGCCACCAGCATTGTTTGAACATAATAAGCAGCAAACGGAAAAATATCAGACCTTTAAACCCACTCACACATTTAGAAACTAAACACTATTTGTAATACACAAAAAAATCGTTTCAAACAAACCATTTGAGGTAGGCAAAGAACAATGATCAACTTGAAGATAGATTGTTTTGGAGTCCAATTAATGAAGTAATCATGATAACTGCATCAGCCACATTAAAAATCCAATCGAGCAAAAAGGAAAGGAATAAGTATTTAAGAAAGTATTAAGCCTTGATCTAAGTTTATATCATGGGCCCGTAAAAGAACTAGGAAACAAAAACTTTATATTAAAATATCTGTCTTCTACCTTACTGTTTCAAGTGACACATTGAGAGGAAGTAAGTCACCCCTCGACCAACCCTCTATGGTTCTGACATCAGTCCGAGCTCCGTGGCAGAGCAACAATGCGACCATTTCATACGATAAACAATTAGCTGCTAAATGCAACGGATATATTCCTTCAAAAAAGGGAACATTAAGATTCGCGATGAAGCCGGTCTTTCCTTCGAAAAAGGCAATGGCACAATCTATTGCCCCATACTTACAAATCGAATACAAAATATCTGGTGGACAATATTTAGCTTGATAACCATCTAATTCCTCCTTTCCAACTTTTTCTCTTTTTGGTATTTTTTTTCGAAATAGCTTCTTCATAAAAGAGAGAAATGCAGGTCTGTTGTCATTACAAAAAATATCTGACATTATATCATCCCAATCATTAGCATCGTCTTCATCAAGTTGAGGACGTCCCACCTGTCATTATTTGAACGCCACTAACATCAGTACATTCGAAGATGACCTCAAAGATTACAACACAGATCATTACAAATTTCAGAAAATATTTTATCTGTAAATGCAGATACAGCCTTCATCAATTGCACAAACAGTAACATGAGTATGAATAAGCACTATGAATATTATATTCAAGTTTAAATAGATACCTTAGGCATCTTTGCCCCAATTACAGTATCTGCACTCTGAAACTCCTCACAAGACGCTCTAATGTAAGAGTAACCTTCATAAACATAAAAATCATCACTTTGAAAGTTTTTCAAATAAACAACTAAATCGCAGTCGAACTATATATATATATTTCAATTAGTTTACAGTGCAAAAAAAGTACATGCGAAACAAGATGTTTGTAACTGAGCGAGCCCTTTCGGGGATAAATTGATATGGAACACTATAAGCACCGTAAGAAAATTGACGGGAAAGAGGACGATAAATTAAGAGAATGGAAAATTACCAACTAGTTTCCATTTCCAATCATCTTATAAAGTGAGTGTCGTATAAAAATATAGCCGATGGTTACTTCTCTTCGCTGGAACTGTTCAGTCACCAGAAAGGAACGACGAAGATTTTAGACGTCTCCCATTAATTCTCCCTCATTTACATTAAATAAATATATATATATGTATGTATATATGTGCGCTATGGTGCAAGTTGGGTGGCCCAACACGATAACATAATTATGGGCCGAGTTTGTCAAGCCGAACCCAAATACTTTCAGGTGATATGGGTACAAAACTTGCTATTTTATATTTAATAATAAATATTTAATTAATTTTTTTATTAAATAAATGTTTTTATTCTTACTTTTCATGTTTTATAAGGACTGATTCGTTAAAGAAAATGCTAAAAGCCTTTGTAGAAGAGATGATTCGGTGCTCAACCACCTTCTAAGAGCATCTCCAATGCTAAAAGCTATTTTCACTTGCCAAATCTATATTTTGACAGGTGCTATAGTGTCAAAATGCTACATTTTAGCAATTCTGCTCTAATGGTGCATTTCATGCAAAATACTATTTTTTGACACAACCACCATTCTTTTTCAACTACCATTCCCACCATTCATATTTGCATCAGTAATATTAATATTAGGCACATTTCAAGTCAAGTTGTAGACATTAGAAAGAAACTAAAATTAAACCTAATTAAAAAGAAGCAAAAATCTAAAATATCTGGTCAAAAAATGACCAAAAAAAAAAAGAGAGAGACAACTCAACTACTATCTCATTCTCATACTTTCTTGTCTATGTTTGGTATGGTGGAACGAAAAGAAAGGATAACATTAGTTATGAGGGAAAAGAAGGAAAGGGAAGGATAATTTTAACCCCCTATCATGTTTTGGTTGATTAATGAAATAAAAGAAAGAAAAGGATAATAATTTGGAAAAGAAAAAAAAAAAAAAAAAAGTATTTTAAGAAATTTACTATTATACCCTTTTATATTTTAAAATATAAATTTATATATATTTAACTATATAATTTATAGGCCCGTGACCCAGGAAAAAATATATATATTTAGGGCAAATCATTTCAGCCTCCCCAATCGCCTCCATCTCTATTCTCGTTCTCACTGAACTTGCCCCCTCTCTGTGCGACTGCAAACTACAAATCTACAAGAATCAGAAGTTCAAAACCCATATATTAAAGTTTATCTATCTGTCTGCAAGAATCAAAAGTTCAAAACCTATTAGCTATATCAAAACCCATATCGGCCATATCATTTCAGATTGTTCAAAAATCAAAACCCGTATCTTTCAATTTCCATCGCCCGCTATTCCAGTTCGGGTTCGTTGTTCGCAAGTCTCTCAACTCTTAAGCTTGCCCCCCTCTCTCTCTACAACTGCTAACTTGTATGTATGGGTTTTGTTTTAATTTTTTTTCTGTAATTCTATTTTATGATCAAGGTTTGTAATTCTATTTTTTTCTGTAATCAAGGTCTGTAATTCTTGTTTTGCAAACTAAATCCTATTTGGTGAAATTTTTTATGATCTTTTTTAAATATATATATATATATATATCCCCCCCCCCCCCCCCCCCCCTCTCTCTCTCTCTAAAATAGCTATTGTTATTTCTTGTGCTACAATTGCCATCAGTTTTGGCAAAGTTCAAAATTGGCAGACAATATAGCTTTGCATTGGAGAGCCCATTTTTAAGCCCACTTGTTATATTTTAGAAATGGCATGCAATATAGCATTGCATTGGAGATGCTCTAAGAGGTGAGGTATTAAGTTCAAAACTTGAGAGCGCAATTTTTTTATTTTTTTTTAATTTGATTTTTTTAACTTTCTTTTTCTCTCCCAGTGTTCACTTCTAAACTCAGTAAATATGGACTCTCAAAAGGGAAGAAGAGGTACAAAGTTAGGGAGAGATAAAATAGACTTCGGCTCAATTTGGTACAATGGAAATGGAGGAAAAGAAAATAAAGGAAATGGAAGAAAATAAAAAGTTGTATTTGGTATAAAATGTTGGAGGGAATGGAGGGGTTTGGAAGGAAATACTAAAGTATAAGCAGTAACTTTTGTTATCCTCCCAAAAATGGGATGAAATATAAGGAAAGGGAAGAAAAGCTAATACTTTTAATAAAATTTTGTTAATACCAAATTTGCTCTTATATCTATAAGAGAAAAATTCTATAAAAAAAGCTATGGTTGTAAATTCATTACATTACTTTCCTTCCCTTTCTTTCCCAAAACATGATTACTATCATTTTCTTTCTTTTCCTTTATTAATCAACCAAACACAACAAGTAATTAGCACTATCCTCTACTTTCCTTTCTTTTCTTTTCCCACCTAACTAATGATATCCTTTCTTTTCTTTTCCACTATACCAAACATACCTTGGTGAGAGTTTATATTTTTCTTGTAATTTTTTTCTCATTCAATGAAAAGAATTTTTATTTATATGTGTTGTTTTTTTGTTAGTATGATAGTTTAAAAACCCCTCTCGAGGGAAAGATGAAGTCACGCTGATATGTAATTGAATTTCTTTCATGTCTTATTTTAATTTTCTTCTTTAGAACATGTCTTTTATTTTTCTATTATGTGTTTTTAGATTGATAAAAAATAAAAAAAATAAAATTAGAGAGAGGATTCTTCATGTTTGCCAATTAATGATAATTCTAAGAGTGTCTACTTCTACTTACTAAATATATATCAGATTAAATAAAAATAAAAAAATGTTCTCTTGTATATAAGCAAGTATTGTGTAACTCTATATTTTCCTTCATTTTTCTAAGTTGTAATTGGATTAATGAAGTGAATAAGCAAAATAAATTTATTTATAAGGATTTGTGGTGGTGGATTTTCACCCCTCGAGACTTTTTCTATTATTTGATCAAAATTTGTTTAATCTTATTTTATTTTATTTCATTATTCAAAAATTTCAAAAATTATTTGTCAATTCATTTTAATTGATGTTTTGAATTTAAGTTCGGAATCTTACTTAAGAGTGGTTCGACCCTGCTTATATTATACCATTTTTATTAAAAATTTATGTGTTTTTCATTTTATTTTTGCACGAATTATAAAGAACCAACGACATAAAAATTCAAAAATCTACACTCATGGCCAGATTTGTCAGCTTGAATGGGTTAACCCTTTTAAACAAACAAACAAACAAATAAATTTGCACGAGCCAAAACAACTCAGTGATGATATCAGAGGATTAACCCAACCCAAAATCACCCCACACACAGGGTAGTTAGGGGGAACATTAAAATGTTTTTCTATAGGTTAGTGTCAATAAAAATAATGTTATAATTTGTTAATATTGGGGACAACAGTTTATTTTCTTAGTCCTCGTGTGGTATATAATAGCTACATCCAGGGACGGACCCAAGATGTTTGATTTGAAGGGCTAAACTAATTATTTGAAGAAGATATATATATACACACACATATGGAAAAAAAATTAAATATAATAATATATTTCTTAGGGTGAAATATCTCAACCTCCCCTAAGGTTTGTCCAAATATCTCTCAACTGAAACTATTGTCAAAATAATCCTTGACACCCCTTGAGGTTTGTCCAAATTTCTCTTTCCATGCTTGATGTTATATGATCTCATTAGTACACCAATTAACCTCAAATTTTCTTGTAGACATAAATGACAACAAAAAAAAAACAGAAATAGAAGTTATAGGATTAAAAAATACTAGTATATATTTTTGTTTTGCTGAAACAAAATGTAGATTACCTCAAAATGCAATGCAATGAATATGACACTATAATACCTTTTACTGTAATCAGCCCCTTCACACTAACACTCAAATCAAGCTCCTCCAAGTTGCTCAAAGCACAAAAGTCTACAAAAAATGAAAATTTTGTTACTTTATATTGTACTTTGTTTCATATACAATTGGGTGCCCATATTAATTGACAAATTTATGCTTTATGCGGTTAACATCCAATTTATTATTAGCATGGAAAAAACTGGAATAAAAAGAATATATATATTGAATAATTGAAGAAATGACTTACCAGTCTGAAGTGATGAAAGCACTCTAAAAGATGGTAGGACCGTAGGATGCTGTAATTGTAAAAATTATAATCCACGATAAGGCCTTCAGCTTGTTCAAGACTCAAGTTCAATCCAAATTTACCAATTAGTCTTTCAAATCCTGCAAAGGGAGATCCTGTTTCAGTCATTATCTTCACAAATATTTATAACTAAAATTCATAAAATAAAATAAAAAATTATATAAAAAAGATCATAAAAAAATTCACCAAATAGGATTTAGTTTGTAAAACAAGAATTACAGACCTTGATTAATTGATAGAAAAAAAAACAAAACAAAACAAAACAAAACAAAACCCATACATACAAGTTAGCAGTTGCAGAGAGAGAGGGGGGCAAGCTTGAGAATTGAGAGACAGCGGGCCAGCGGCTGAAGCTTGTGAACGACGAACCCGAACTGGAACAGCGGGCGATGGATACTGAAAGATATGGGTTTTGATTTTTTGAACAATCTGAAATGATATGCCGATAAGGGTTTTGATATAGGTAATAGGTTTTGAACTTTTGATTCCTGCAGACAGATAGATAAACTGAAGTATATGGGTTTTGAACTTCTGATTCTTGTAGATTTTGTAGTTTGCAGTTGCAGAGACACAGAGAGGGCAAGTTCAGAGTTGAGAACGAGAACAGAGATGGAGGCGATTGGTGTGGCTGAAATGATTTGCCCCCAAAAAAAAAAAAACAAAACAAATTCTGGTGGCCCATCATCCATGGGCTTATAAATTTTGAGGCCCCATAAATTTGAGGCCCTATTTGAGTCAGGGCCGACCCTAGGTGCAACTTGGGTTGAACAACGCCAACCCAATTTGAGTTCGTCCGATTTTTCATGGGTTTAGACAATTATTTTTACAATTAGGGTTGAAAAATCTCAATTTTAATTTAATTAGAGTTGGACTTGGGTTGAGGTACTAGCAACCCGAACCCGAATTTTAATATAATTTTCATATATATTTTTAATTTTAAATACATTATATATAATATTTAATCTACGATTATCTTTTTTTCTTTTCAACTTTATTTGTTAAATTTTAACTTATTGTATGTTAACATTTAAGGCAATTAATTTTCTAAGAATTTGTTTTTAATTTATTCAAAATTTAAAAAATGTCTTTAATCTTTTTTTTTAAGAGTAATTTAATCTAAAACTAATTCAATGTCATATTAAATTTTTGGTGTGAAGATTAACTATACGAGTAACTCCAATGCACCTCAATTTTTAATATGGAATTTAAACTCGAGTTGCAAGCCCGAATTTAAAAGTATAATGATGGGTTGGGCTCGAGTTGGGTTAAGTTTAGTTTTAACATTTCATATGGTGAGTTGGATTTAAGTTATACCTCAAACCCACTCTACTGGTCTGAATTACAACCCTACAAAAAAGTGTATAAGTATATTCCTGTCAATGTAAAAAAATAACTTTTTAAAAGAGAGTGGTGGAAGGGGTTTGAATGCAAATATAAGCAAAAAAGTGGGCAAGTATATTCTTGTCAATGTAAAAAAATAAATAAATCAACCAGTACGCACTGTTAACTATTAAACACAGACAATCACCTTCTAGGATTATGAAGCAAACTTGTGAGTTCTACGATTATATGCTGTGGAGCATATGATTTAGTCCAATCAAAATTTTCTAACCAAAATCAAATGAATCAATCAAAATTTAATAGCTTATAGCTTTATTTTAATATGAATTTTGATTGAGTTGAAGTGTTGAACCACCTAATGACTTGTTAATTAAATTGGAAAAAAAAAGAATAATGTTCGACACTCTGGGCCGGTTTGGTTAAGCTGTAGTTTTTTTTTTTTTTTTTTTTTTCATTTTTGTGAAAATGAAGTTTTGAAAAATTGTGTAGTTATTTCTGTCAAAACTAAATACGTTTGTAACATTATACTGTTGAATTTTTAAAAAAAGAAAATATATTTCATAAAAAAAATTTATAAAAAAAATTGACTCTTTTATTTACTATTCGAGTATAATTAAAAAATAATAAGATAACATTCTTAATTTTACTATTTGTGTATAATAAAATATATTTTAAATTTTAATTACTATTTGAGTATAATTGAAAATTAATAAAAATAATATTTTATTTACTATTCGAGTATAATTGAAAATTAATAAATTAACATTTTTTATTTTACTTTTCAAGTATAATAAAATATTTTTAAATTTTTATTGTTTGAGTGTAATTGAAAAATAATAAAAGAATATTTTATTTACTGTTTGAGTATAATTAAAAATAATAAATAACATTTCTGTAATTGTGAAAAATAATAAAATAACATTTCTCTAATTCTCATTTTGAAAAATAATATAATAATAGTATTTCAAAACCAAAACTAGGTTTCCCCAATTCCATCCCGACTTAATTATGGGCCGAGTTTGTCAAGCCGAACCCAAATACTTTCCAGTGATACATGTACAAAACTTGCTATTTTAAACTTAATAATAAATATTTAATTAATTTAGGAAAAAATATAAATATTTAATTATTTTTTATTAAATAAATAGTTTTATTCATACTTTTTATGTTTTATAAGGGCTGATTTCGGATTGAGAATAAAACAGACGAAATGGCAAAATGTGAGAAATTATGGCTGCAAAATGATAAGACTTTATTTATTGTTAAAAAATAAAATTTAAAAAAAAAAAAAAAAAAAAACCACTATAAGCCTTGTAGAATAGATGATTTAGTGCTTTTAAATTTACTTTTTCCCTCCTAAATGTTCCCTTCTAAATTATGTAAATATGGACCCTTAAAAGGGGAGAAGAGGTACAAAGTTAGGGAGAGATAAAGTAGTTATTGAGAGTTCATATTTTTCTTGTAATTTTTTTTTTCTCATTCAGTGAAAGACATTCTTATTTATATGTGTTGTTTTTTTGTTAGTATGATAGTTTAAAAACCCCTCTCGAGGGAAAGATAAAGTTACATGGCTGATATGTAATTGAATTTTTTTCATGTCTTATTTTATTTTCTTCTTTAGAATAAGTTTTTTATTTTTCTATTATGCGTTCTTAGATTGATAAAAAATTAAAATAAAAAATAGACGGAGGATTTTTCGTGTTTGCCAATTAATGATAATTCTGAGAGCGTCTACTTCTACTTAGTACTTACTAAAAATATATCTGATTAAAAAAATAAATAAATAATGTTCTCTTGTGTATAAGGAAGTCGTAATTGGATTGATGAAGTAAATAAACAAAAGAAATTTGTTTATATAAATCCGTGGTAGTGGATTTTCATCCCTCGAGAATTTTTTTTGATCATTTGATCAAAATTTGTTTAATCTTATTTCTATTTATTTTATTTCATTTCATTTCATTATTCACAAATTGTTTTAAAATTCTTTGTCTATTCTTTTTAATAGATGTTTTGAATTTAAATTCGGAATCTTACGAGTAGTTCAATCCTTCTTATTATATATAATTTTTATTAGGGTAAAGTACAACACTCCACTGAGGTCTAGCATAAGGACAGATAGATACAAGTTAGCCTATTTTTGGTCAATCACACCCCTTCAAGTTTGATAAAATGGACAAAGAGACCCGATAATGATAAATTGACTTTATTACTCTTTAATAAAAAATTAACATTTTAATTAACTTAAATACCCTTAGATTAAATCCAAACCCAAACCAAACCCATCTCAAACCCTAACCCGAACCATCCTAACAGTGTAAAGAATCCACTTTCCCTTTCTCTCTGTATGTGTAGATATACACACACTACATATACCGCCGCCGCCACCATCACACCTCAGCCTCCGCCGCCATCATCACACCTCACGGGCTCCTTCTTCAGCAACGTTTTTTCAAAACTCACCATCTGCTGTTGGGGTTCACCACCTCCTTCACGAAACCCTCGTAAGTTGCATACCACCTTTAGGGACAAGGGCAGCTACCTGCCAGTCAAATTAGAAAGAAAAAAAAAAAAATCATCACCCTTCACGTGCATCATCATCACACCTTCACACGCTCCTTCTTCAGCAACGTTTTTTCAAAACTCACCATCTGCCGTTGGGGTTCACCACCTCCTTCATGAAACCCTCGTAAGTTGCATACCACCTTTAGGTACAAGGGCAGCTACCTGCCAGTCAAATTAGAAAGAAAAAAAAAAAAAAAATCATAAGCATAGAAGATCCAAAATTGGGGTATGAATTTTCAGTTAATAAATCGAAAAATTGTGACCCAATTGTTTCTTTTGAAACTAAATTGAAAGGTTATGGTGCTCACCATCTGCCGCCGGTGCTAACCACCTCAATTTCTCAGCCTTAGAAACCGACCGGAGCCACCTTTGCTAACCCTTGCTCCGGCTTCACCTCCTACCAACAACGGCCACATTTACAAGCTTTTCTCTCACATACAGAGCTCACAGCAACCCTTATCAGCGGCAGAACCACCGATTTCATCCTCAACTGTCCACATCATCCAGATCTAACGATGACGGAACCAATTGTAAATTCAAGCCAAACGCCCCTCCTTCTTCAGCAATCACTCCAGACTCAAAGCTTCGCTCTACGCTCAAACATCAACTCTCTGCCGCCGTCAAGAATCAAAGACGCCGGTGTGGGGAATACGTCTCTGTCAATCCTTGATCTGTCCACTTCATGCCGAAAATTTGCGGTGGCGGCTGAGGAGTTATTCGAGGGGTTCTTGGAGGATGGAGGTGTCGGTGAAAGGAGTAACCGACGTGTGAACGAAGGAGATGGTGAACCGATCGTCGGCCGGAGGTTGGAAGGTGTGGAGGTGGTGTCATGGCCGGGTCTGGGTTTGATAGGTTTACAATATGCATATAGATATATAAATATATATATATATATACTATGAACGATTTATTTTTATATATATTTTAATTATTTTATTATATTTAAATATATCTTTATCTAATTAAAAAAAAAATTATTAAAAAATTCATAATAAATAAATAAGTACAAAAATTATATGCGATAGAATTCTCTTTTTATATTAATGAATACATATTTTTTACATTAAAAAATAAATATTAAAATACTAAAACTTTTTACATTTTTATATTTTATTTATATTTATACGTATTATTATATATTTTATTTAAATATATCATTTTATAATGTGATAGAGTTTTACAGAAAATAAAATAGGTAATTTGTGGTAGAGTTTTATTAAATAATTTGTTAGTTAATTTTTGCTAGAGTTTTATATAAATTATTATATATTTTTTTAAATATATCCTTATCTAATTAGATTTTTTTTACTAAAAAACTCATAATAAATAGATAAATATATGTTATATGTGATAGAGTTTCAATGAAAATAAATTAGTTAATTTGTGTTAATTTTATGTAATTTGTGTTAGTGTTTTATAGAAACACTTTTAATATATTTTTGTCTAATGTGATAGAGTTTGTGGCAAAATTTTATAAAAATTATTTATTTTCTTTAAATATATATATCCTTATCTAATTAGATTTTCTTTTACTAAAAAACTAATAATAAAAGGTAATTTGTGTTGCAGTTTTAGAAAAATTATTTTATTTTTTATCTCAATTAATAAATATTTTTTATATTAATAATTCTTATTTAATTATATTTTCTTTTATAAAAAATTCATAATAAATAAATAAATAGGTAATTATGTTAGAGTTTTATATAAAACTCATTTAAAAATTCTGTTTAATTAAATAAATATTTTTTTATGTTAATAAATCTTGTCTAATTACATTTTCTTTTATTAAAAAACTCAAGTAGATAAATAGGTAAATTTTGTTATATTTTTATAGAAACTCTTTTAAGACCTATTTTTTATATCAATTAATAAATATTTTTTAAAATTAATAATAGTGTATAATTAGATTTCCTTTTATTAAAAAAATCATAATAAATAAATAAATAGGTAATTTGTGTTAGAGTTTTATAGAAACACCTAAATGGTGTTTCAGATTTTAAGCCACTTTTGCATAATGTTTTGCAACTGTTTAAAATATAACAAGCCCAACCAAACATGTTTTGGTTTGGAATTGGACTACTGTAGCAGGCCTAAAACATAAACACCAAAAACAAAACACAAACCAAACAGGGCCTTAGTAAGCTTCATAAAAATAATAATATTGGTAGAAAAAAATTTACATTATTAATGATTATAAATCTACTAGTTTGAATTCCGTTGGGGTCATCTTGTGAAATTTTTTTGGTAATTATTCAATATATGTAAGACAGAAAATTACATGTGTTCGATAGTTGATCATGGAGTGTAATTTTAAGAATTCCGACACCTATATATTATAAATACTGTCATCATGCATCAAGAGACAACTACCAATGGTTTAATAATAAAAACTAGTAGTAAAAAAAATCTACTTAATACTTGGATAAGTTTCTTTACACAATCAAAAGTGAAAAGAAAAACGAGTGCTGAATCTATTACAAAGCTAGAAGAGTAGTAGTAGTACTAATTAAGTTTTAACCTGGTATTGAAAAGCCCTTAAAAGTGCCTCAAATCTCGGCCCACATTTACAAAAGATATATATATATATATATATGATGAATGGAATATAGAAAAAAAATGGTGGTGGTGGAGGAGGTGGTAGTGGCGACAAAATGGAATTCTTTCATCAGATGATACAGAAGAACGTGTCCCCTCTTATCCCTACCGCCTATACTCTTCTGCTCCAATGTTTTTCCTTTTGGCTCCTATCAGTTCCAATTATCATATGTGGTCCCAACCTATCATCATATATATGAAATTGATCATCTCTATATATACACATATTCATAATTCCTGATTAATGCTTTTTGTTGTCACCCTAATGAAGTGTCATTGTCTCTGTAATTATCTCAATCATTTGTTTGTTTCTTAATGCTCATCGACATTTTTTTGTTGTTTTAATAATTAAATAAGAGTAATAAAAGATTGCCATTGATTTTCACGGGACCACTTCGTAAAGGTTTTTGACATTTTTTTTTTGTTACAATACGATGCAATATGTTATATAAATATTTTATTTTTAACATAAATGTATTATTGTAGATGACACGTATTATGTTGTTAATTTAATTGAAGGTAAAATTTAAGCGAAATTTATTCAAAGATTTGTATGCAACTTAAGTGGAGATAAAACATATTTGTCAATTTTTTTTATTTAAGTAAAACACACAATTAATATGAATCATTTACATTAAACAATACCACTACCATTCAAAATCAAAATATGCAAGTATTCCTAAATTTTTGAAAGAAAAAAAACTAATTACAAAGATACTTCTACATTAACTAATTGCACCTATTGTCATTGAATTAAAGACATGAATTTAAGATAAAAACACCCTTTTTACGTAAAAGATTTACTCTAAATTTATTATCGTGCTTTGTGTTTACTAAATAATGAACTAATTATGACTCATTTTGCAAAAATTCACACACACACACACACAAAGACAACTCAAAGAGTTTTCATATTAAGTAGTAGCAACAAAGAGTTGATTTGAATGTTGCATTAATTACTTGAAATATGATACAAGGAAATTATAACCTTTGGTGCTTAAAACATTTTTATTTGAAAAGTTATCTCTCATCTTCTAAAACGTATAAATTCGGTGGTTCAAATCTTTGCAGGGAAATTTTTTTACTTGAACCATGTATGTAATTCGGCGAGGATAAAGCATTTAATTAATAGATTTTTTTTTTTTCTGGGGAGGGGTTTAAAATTTTAATTTTTTCTAATTTTGAGGAGAGAAATGGTATTATGGTATGTATATTGGAAGTCCTTTGATGGTGTATATTCCGGGTTTGTCTCGTCAAGCATGCCCAATTTTGGGCTACTATGGTTACAAAATCTAACGTATAAAAAAGGTGAAATTGGTATGACCCATAACAATATGATTAGATTAGTATGATTGGTTTTGAATGCAACAGCGGGATATATTCATATATTGACCTAAAGTTCATTATGATCATGGCACAATGGACTATATTCAGGCCTTGAGATGAATTGAATTGGTTCTCCAGGCATATATATATATATATATATATATATATATATATAATCAACTTTATATCTCTATTTTTGAGTAATAGAAAGAATGATGTTTACCAACTTATTATCTCAAATCAAATATGTATGTCCCCACTATATATGATCATGATTTTCTATAAAAATCAGGTCCTACACCATCACATTAATCAACGGTAGAAATAATCACCATTTGTTCCAAAAAAGATAATGGTGGTCTCTGATTCAACATATCATTTGAGTTCCAATAACATTTCTTATGTCTTTGGAATTTTGAAAGGGAGTATTTTATTTTTCTTTTTACTAATAAATATGAAATCTTAAATGATTTTTAAAGAAAAAAATAATAAATAATTTGATGTTGCATTAATACACTCCGTATTTGTTTACTATTTGTAGTGGATTGATATAATCAATTAATATAAGTTGCTGTTTTTGTGTCAGGACTCACTCAGGATACATCAAAGACTGTGAAGTGAAGTTATATAAATAAATGGGGTTTTGAGGTGGGACCCATTGAGGGGTGGTGTGCGTATTAGGCAGGTTTGATGGGAAATGAGGGTGATGGAACTAAGAAGCATCGGAAGGAGTGTATGAAGAAAAAGAAGAAGAAGAAGGAAGGAAGCTGAGAAATGAATGGAATTAAAAAAAAGTAGTGAGAAGAGAAGGAAGAGATTGCTGCGAGTTTACGTTCCCAAGTCTCGAACAAGCTGCTACGCTCCATTCCCTGCTCCGCATGCCACTCGATTCTAGAGTGAGATCTGGAGCGTTCAATATACTATCATTTTTTCAACGTTGCTTAAGCCAATTCATTGTAAATGTTGTAACGATGAGTGATGCAATGGTCTATTACAAATATTTTTTTTTAATTTATTGTAAGTTCACTCTATTTTAATAAAATATTTATAACAGCTCGTTATACCACGTCGTCATTGTAACGATTCTAATAAATAAATTTTTTTGTAATAATTTTTCATAATGGAAATGAATAAAGTTACCTTGCTCTCTCCCACTCTGTTTTAACTTATTCCAATCAGTAAAGGCGCTTTTATATTATACTCATATTCTTACAATAATAGTATTAAATTTCAAATTTTCGTTGATAATTTAAATCTTGTTATTATTCACATGAGAGAAAAATAATTACTACCACGATTGAAAATTTGTTTCTTTATTTACCTTTATGCTACGTTTGGTATGCAGGAATGGAATGTCCATTCCAACCATTCCTTTGTTTGGTATGCAACTTAAAGTGAGAATGACCATTTCATTGGAATGAAAATCTATTCCACAACTAAACTTATGGAATGGCCATTCCATTCCCAAGTAATTTATTTAAAAAAATGAACTTCCCAAAATACCCTCATATTCCAAGTCCAAAAGCCACAATTACCTTCCACCACAATCATTTCCGTCTTTCACCACCACTACCACCGATTTTCACCATCGTCCACCACCTTTGTGATACCCCTCGGATCCGAGACACGGGTTGATCAGGCCCAGGCCCAAACCCGAGGGAATATCAAACAATTAAAGTATTTTAAAACGAACACAAATGACAAAAAGAAACAATAAAGATAGAATAATGCTGAAAGAAATAATAATAATAAAATCCTCCATGTGTAACTGAAAATTTAAACTCCAATCCTCCAAAATTTCAAGGTTACAACTTGGGAATCCACTGATGGACCCCTAACCAAAAGTTCAACTGAAACTGAAAACTGAAAATAGATAATGCTAAAAACATCGAGAGAAGTCCTACGTAGTTAGATGGATGTGAG